CTGTAGGTGTTTTGCGCTCTGCAGGCTTGGATGACAAAAAGTGCCCCCATGCCTAAGGTCAGATCAAGCCTCTCTCTTTCTGCCCTGCGTCTCTCTACAGCTGCCTTAAATAATCCAACAGGATATAAGGCTGTAACCAAGTGAAAGTTCAGCGAGAAAGACAGCCAGACCAGGGAATGTATGACAAGATAGTGCAGGACTTTATTTTTGGGGAAAGCCTGCAAGGGCTGGGGGAGGGGGGTCTCTGTAAGATCAGAGCTTACAAGCTGAGGTAGTAATGGGGGTAGAAAGAGGGACTGGGGAAGGAGGTTGAAGTCTCCTTTGCTGACCTGCAGTGCGCTAAGGGTAACCAGTGAGTCAGTTAAAGAATGTCAGGTGATTGATCAGTGTCTCTGGAGGCTGGGCATTACTTGGGGTCCCTAGGGCAGGACAGTCAAGAATGTAGAGGAACAAGTTATGTTAGGAAAGCAAATTATCATAGTTACCAGAAGTGCCACAGTTCAACCAAAATGGAGGAGTTATACAAAATGGCATGGCCCTGCTTGGCTCCGTCCTGAGATGACAGAGGAGCTGCAGAGGTGTGTGTGCTGGCCGGGAGGGGGAGATTCCCTCTACAGTGACAGCAACTGTGATCTAACACTATGAAACTGGAGGCCAATTTGCAATGGACACCCTGGGTGGAGGAGATGCAGGGGACATAGAATGCATCCCAAGGAAAGATGAACTGAGCAGAGCCGACCCAAGAGACAGGCAACTCGTGCTTCAGGTCACAGGGCTCCAGACGCAACACTATCCAGATGCCACTTCCGTGAGCCCCACAGGTCAGACTCACAGCGAGGGACTGGCGTTTGCCCTGCTGCTTGGTTAGCATTTCCTTTCTACCCTCTTGTTCTTCCCATTTGAAATGGGAATGTCTATAGTGTACCATGGAATATGGGAAGCACACGACTTGAGCTTAGCTTTCACAGGGGCTTGCTTGCAACTAAGAGGTAGCTTTAAGTTTCAGAAGAGTCTCTTGATTTGGATTTTTTGAATGACATTGGTGCAGTGGAATGCTCCACTTGTACAATGTAAAGATTTGTCACTCGAATTGGTTTAATAAAATGCCAATTGGCCAGTAGCCAGGTGGGAAGTATAGGCAAGCTGACCAAACTAAGGATGATGGGAAGGAGAAGGGCCAAGTCAGGGGTCCCCAGCAAATCCAGAGAAGCAAGATGAGACTGTTGTACTGAGAAAAGATACCAACCCACATGTATTGGTGAAATTATTAAGGCCACTCCACATAGTTAAAAGGGAGGTTTATTCTGTGGGGTAACTTACAAGTGAAGGGATAGGTAACAGGGTCTGGGAAAGGTGTAATGCAGTCCAGTGGTGTTCTCTGGAGAACTCTGCTCAGTCTACCTCCAGCGTACAGGGTCCAGGAACCAAGAGAGCTGGCCCATCCAGATCTTGGGTCTTCAGGGTTCTCTCTCGGCCCCGCCTTGTAGGCGTGACAGTTACTGAAGCCTCGGTGGGGGTTGGAACTTCCAGATCAAAGCTGGAATGGCTACCCACTACATACATGGCTAAACATAGAGAAGTAATAATTCTGAGCTACTGGCTGAACATTTATAATTAATATAAATGTTATTAATATAAGCCTCTGAGTGGTTATTTGGGAACTGACAGGTAGGAAGGAATGATCTGTTTACACATTGGGGCAGTTAAGACTGCAGCTTCTTGAAGTTGAACTAAAGGTGGTTTCCCTTATGAGGTGGCCATGAACTTATGGTGGTGGGGGAGGAATATTAAGGTTTGGGTGTGCAAAGTCCCCTCTGGGTTCACATGTTTGAGCATTTGGCCTGAAGCTGGTGGAACTGATTTGGGAGGGTATGGAACCATTTGGTCATGAGGCCTGAGGTGGCTACAGGGCTGTAGGGGTGGAGCCTGAGAATGACAGGCTTCCTGCTTCCAGTCTTGCTTTCTGCTTCATGGCCACAAACATATTAAAAAGCAGCTGCCTCATGCTCCTGCTGCCAGGGACAGGAGTGGTCTCACCACCATGCCTTTCCCACCACGACCAACTGTTTCATTTGAAATGTGAACCAAAACTAAACCTATTAATTCTTAACTTGTCTCTGTGAGGTATTTAACCACAGTGATGAGTAGAATCCAGAACTACTGCCTCTGATGGGGTCTGTAGGTGAGCCACAGTGGTTTAGAGGTGGCAAGGAATCATGGAACTTCTTTCTACTCCAGTGCGGTTTGCACTGTTCAACTTACTAAACCACTCAAGAGGGGAATCTGTTCCAGTGTGAATAACATCAGTGGTGTTTGTTACAGGCTGTCACTGTAAGCTGCCTTAACTTAACCTAATACAGCCCAGCTGCTGGCATTATATTTTTTAAAGCACAAGCCCATGAGACTTTGAAGTTAGCATTAATTATCTTAGATACTGTCAATCAGCTGGAGAACAGATGCAATGGTGCCAAACGGCACTCGTGGAGATTGGATACTTGCTTTGATTCATGTGCAATGTACAGCACGTAAGAGGACCCTTCGGCATACTGAACAGTGGCCGGTAAGAACATGAAGCAGTAACGCCAATATGCTATGCCAAGATTGAGTCTGTAGGTGGCAGTACAAACTCAGGTATGGGAAACACCGTCCTCCAAGGCTAGTCTTAGTGGCCTCAAGAAGACCTGGATGCTGTTAAAAAAAGAGAGAGAGAGAAAAAGACAGTGTTTTATTAGAGTCACTACACCATTTTCTAAGATCATAAATAGTAACTTAAAAATATATCCGGGTTCCTATATTATTCTATATTTTTAAAGAATCAGACAGCATCACTTGTAAAACCACAGCTAGCCTAGAGATGACATCAGAGCTGCTGGTTTTGAATTTCATCTTATTGAATATTATCTGGCTTGCATACAATTGCTTTCTATCTTTACCTGCTCCTTGAATTTCAAACTTTCTGTGAAAATGTGTAAGCGTACCTGGAATCTTTCTCGATTGGCACTGGAGTTCAGTTCCTCCATGCTTCTCGCGCTGTATGTAAGAGTTTGTGTTTCCTATCCATCCTCCTTACTTCTATGTGACATTCATCACATCCACCATTGTTCAAGCCTAAGCTGCGCGGGAACTTTAAAAACTCTCTCACCCTCCATCCCTCTCAAGCACAGCGTCAGAGCACTCATCCCTTATTCGACCTCACTCCTGAGATCAAGTTTACTTGTCCTCTCTCTGAGCACACTATACGTCATTAATCACTCCGCCCCTCAGACACAGCATCATTTCAGGCTCTTCCCACTGGCGCAGGTGATCTGAATGCTTTGCTTTCTTCTTTACTCTCTCATTCCTAACTTGGACATTTTGTTGGTAAAACTGGGAAGTCATCACCGTACATAGTCTTTGCAACCTTTTTGGAAGTTATGTTATCATTAGGAAAATAAAAAAAAAAAAAAAAAAAAAAAAAAAAAAGGCCACAAAGAGAAAGGTCTCTGATGAAGTCTGAGAGAAGCCTCTGTCTGTGGATAGAAACAGAGATGGTTATTAATGATCGTTTTGAAAAATGGTCTGACTATGTAGCCCAGGCTGGCTTGGAATGTGCTACGTAGTCAGGGCTGGCTTTGAAGTCACAGTTCTTCTGCCTTAGTCCTTCCTCCCTGCCCCCCCCCAACCCTGTCACTCTGTCTCTCTGTCTCTATCTCTGTCTCTCTGTCTCTGTCTGTCTGTCTGTCTCTCTCTCTCTCTCTCTCACACACACACACACACACAAGTTATTTTCTGAGCCATTTGGAAGTAATCTACATATATCATGATCTTTACCACCACACTATTCAGTGTGTACTTTCCTAAAAAGAGTGACATGTAGCAGCAGGCTTTTTTTGTTTGTTTGTTTGTTTGTTTTTCGAGACGGGGTTTCTCTGTGTAGCTTTGCACCTTTCCTGGAACTCGCTTTGGAGACCAGGCTGGCCTCAAACTCACAGAGATCCACCTGCCTCTGCCTCCCGAGTACTGGGATTAAAGGCATGTGCCACCACCACCCGGCGGCAGCAGCAGGCTTTCTTTTGGACCACCAGCCAGCTCCCAAATCATGACATGGAGACTTAATGTTAGTTATGAATGCTCGGCCTTAGCTTATGCTTGTCCCACTGGCTCTTATAACTTAAAATAACCCATTTCTCTTCATCTATGTTTTGCCCTGGGGCTTTTTACCTTTCTTTCCTTCTGTATGTCCTGCTTTCGCTGCCTGCTCTGTGTCTGTCTGTCTCCAGATGTCTCCCTTTCTTTCTCCCTTGTCTGCTGTCCTCATACTTCTAGGCCTCCAGAACCTCAGGGAATAACTATCTGTTCTTCCCAAGCCACCTAGAGACAGCTGGTAGCTGTCATCCACAGTGACGTAACTTGGCCACCTACATTGTGTTTGTCTAATTTCCCTCCTCGATGGCTATGGCTTTATTTACTTCCTGTGCAGTGAAGAGTCTGGAGTGAATTATCCTGGATATTGTTTCATTTACACACACACACACACACACACACACACACACACACACACACACACACAGACGACTGGAAGTTTTTCTAATATGTGTCTATTACAAGACTCATAATTTATTTCAGTGTAGCAAGAGAACACACTTCATATGACTTGAACCCTTTCAAATGTATTGTGATTTTTTTCTCTTGCAGGGCTTGGGTTCTATCTTTGTAAGTATCCCATGGACACTGATTGAAATTTGTTTCTGGCTGATGTTGAGTGGCATGTTCTACAAATATAAATCATTACAAGGTGATCTCTAGTGTTGTTCAGATTTTCTGTTTATTAACTGTCTACCTACCTACTAATCATTGAGAGAGCCATGACTATTGAGATATCCAAGTAGATATAGAAATTTCTATCTCTCTTTGCAGTTCTGTTTGTGTTTAGAAGCTGTAGTGTTAGATATATACACATTCAGACCCGCTTTAAAAAAAAAAAGGATGGAAAATTATTTCCTATATAGATGTTAATGAAATTAAAGATTCAATTGCTTTATTTATATTACATAAGACAGATATCAGGACAATTCAGAGACAGAAATGATAACATCCACATCATATTTAAAGTGGATTTATTATAAACAGCATAGAGGGTTGTCTTTTAAAAATCCAGTTTCTTTAATGCTGTTTTCTTTTTAGTATATTTAGATTATATCTTAGCCTATTAGGAATGCTGTAGCAAAGTGTCACAAACACTTCTGTAGTTTATAAAGACCAGAAAGTGGTTCCTTGTGGTTCTGGAGGCTTAGCAGTCTGAGCACTTCAGACTGAAGTGTTGTAGAGGGCTGACTAACTAATTTACACTGGAGGAACAGGTATTTCCCACAGGTGAACTCTTCATCGGCACAGCAGTCTGCTCATTCAACACTGCTCTCGTGACCCCACTGCTCCAGAAGATAGACACAGCGTTCCAACAACAACAGCAGATCAGTGTAGTTCAGGGCATCTACACGGTTGGGTTCAAGTGTGACGTTCTTCCCACTCACAGTCTGCTCATCTCTTCTGCACTGGTTGGTCTTTATTGTCGACTTGGCATACACTAGGGCTACCTGGGAAGAAAAAAAAATGTCATTTGAGGAACTGTCTAGATCAGGGAGAGACAGAGAGAGAACCAGTAAGCAGAATTGCTCAGTGATTTCTGCTTCAGCTAATTAAGACATTAAGACTTTTTTTTTTTTGGAAGATGAAGAATAAATAAAGATTGGTTATCTCTGAGGAGCAGGAGGCTTGAGGAATGGTGAGAAGGAGGCATGGGGGAACACAGGGCTCCTGTGAGTGTGCCTTTCCTGGAGGCCTTCCTTTTGAAAGCGTGTTGATGGGTGACATGCTCGAACAATAGGAGAGTGCCAGAAAGAGCAGGAAGAGGGTTCCAGCGCAGGTGAGGTGAAGGAAGCCCTGTGCATGTTGTCATTTCCACAGATGATACCTGGAATCTCTGGCGTGGCGCAGGCTCTACTTTCCATTTCATTGCTGTGAGAAAACGCTCTGGTCAAACGCTACTCAGGGGAGGGAAGGGATTATTTGGCTGATACTCCCAGTCACGGTCCATCATTAAGAAAAGTCAGGGCAGGGACTCACACGACAATGAGAGGCAGAAACCATGGAGGAACACTATTTGCTGGCTGGCACACAGGCTTGTGCTAAGCTAGCTTTTTTATAGCCTAGACCCAGATGCATAGAGATGGTGCTGTCCATACTGTGCTGGGTCCTGGTCAGTTAATCAAGACAGATCCCACCCCTCCACACACACACAGCAGACATGCTCACAGGCCAATCTGATCAGGAGAAGCCCTCACCTGAGGCTTCTCTCAGATAACTTTAGGCTTTGCCAAATTGATAATTTAGGTTAGCTAGGTCACCCAGAAAGAATTAATTATGGTGGTTAAGGGCTGAGCTGAGATTTGAACTTTCTGTAGCCACCAAATCCAAATAAGGGGTCACATGGCAGGGGTGCAGGTTAGAGATTGTGAATCCACTATACACGTTCACTGGAATCCAGAAATTACATAAACCCATGGCAGATGGTGGCAACCAGGTTCCTCCCTGGTGGAGTGGGAAGTTACAGATAAGCAGGGGCTAGATGATCCATATGGCAATGGATTAGAGTTTGAGATGTGACATCAGTGGGAACTAATTTCAGTTTCATTTAGATGCATGGATATAGGTGGAAGAAGTGTTTATAGATAAGTGCATAGATTGAGTTAGCACATGTACTTATTTTCTGGTTTGATTAGTGAGAGCCTGGAAACTGTAATTCTCCAATAGCCTCCTCTTAACATCTACTTCTTGATTTGAAATACTGTCCTGTAGGACAGGGAGCTAGGTAGGGCTTCTTGAGAAGGTTCACCTCAGGGCCAAGGCTGGAAATAGCTAAGAGGTGGATGCAACAGTCTATCATGCTAGCAAGAGGGGAGATGCTTCAATACAACAGGACAGCATTGGCAGAAATCCAGCCCTCCCAGCAGTCAAGGTGGAACGATTACAGCTGCAGAACCTTCCAAAAGCAACGTGGGAGTGTGACAAACAGCATCAAATCAGATCTGTGGGTCTAGATTATAGTGAGTACTTAAATGAGTAAATGAGCAAATGGACTTGAGTGGGCACATTCCCCTGCCTTGGGTAGATGCTTGGCCCTCAAAGGATACAGTACCACTCACTCCATTTTCTGATGCTTGGATGGAGACAGCTTTAAGTCTGGCCTCTTCTTCTCCCTCTTCCCTTCTGGTATGCTAGGAAGGAAGGTGGTACCTTAGTTGATGGCTGTGGGAAACTCCGCCGCTCAGCCCGGCCCCTCATCACCATAAAGAGTTTGTGTTCTCTGTTGCTCCGCCTCTCCCCATCCCTAGCCAGTTTTCAGGTGTAATATTTACTTAGCGATCTGTCTGTCAGTCTATCTGTGAATTAATTAATTTATTTTTATGTGTATGCCTGTGTGGATGGATGTCTAGGGAAGCGGCAGAAGAGGACATGGAATCCTCTGGAGCTGGAGTCACAGGCACTTGTGATCTGCCCGATGCGGGTGCCGGGAACTAAAAACTGGGTCGGTTGTCTGGAAGAGCAGCTCAGGCTCTTAACCACCGAGCCACCTCTCGTAATTTTTGAAATGGTGGCGTTTAGCAGGCTTCCTTCTCACCTGGAGATGGAACCTCTTCTTGGCCTTTCTGATGACCTTTTTCTATGTAAACATGTAGACTGTTAACATGATTTCAAAAGAGAGACTAGAGAAAAAGTCACACGGGGGGGGGGGGGGGGAAGAGGGGGGACTGTGTCCTCTTGGCCTCATCCCCATTTTCCACCGTTTCCTTTTGTAACCAACTTCAAGGACAGCCATTTTCCCCCCTGTGTTCCCCTTTATTATGGTAAGTGGAAAGATCTCTGTTTTCTCATTTTCCTCCCTTCTTTCACAGAGATAGCATAAAATAAAATATCACTGTTTTGTATTCAGCAGGACAGTATTGGGATCGAACCCAGGGCCTTGTGTAGCTCCACCAGTGAGCTGCATCCAAAGCGATTACTTTCTTCGCTCCAGTTAGTAGCATCACCAGTTCTAGATCTCTTAATGAATTGCTTGCAATTTGTTTTCTGTTCAAAGGCATTTATTTATTCACACCTAGAGTTTACAGATCTATCAGTATTATTCCAATAGGCGACAGAGACACTCCTTAAGGGTCATGTAAGGAGATGTCTTTCTGTTTTCTGACAGAGGGACTCTCAGCCCTTATAGAGCTGATGAGTACAGAAGTTCTGGGTGAGTGTCCCAGAGTCCGGAGCCCGAGTCTGATGGGGAAAGGGACTTTGGCCACTGGAACTATGATGAAGAGTTGTACAGAGTTGACTGTGTTAAGAGGACCAATCCCTTCCTCAGAGGCACGTGGCCAGCCCAGGGGACTTGCCAGTGAGAAACACTTTGGCCTTGTCTCCTGTAGGGCACCCTCAAGTGGTAGCCCCAGAACTAAAGAGCCCATAGTGGAGATTATAGCTGGCCGTCTGCCAGACAGAGTAGCGACAAAGAAAGGACCTTTGCACTCATTTGTGGTACGTATTTAAGTGAGACATGCTACAACAATATGTATTCCAGTAACAATTAGTTCATGTTTTCTTATTTCCCATCATTTGGCCCTATGATTTAAAATAATATTTATGTTAAAAACTATCCTTGCTGGATGGTGGTGGTGGTGGCGGCGGCGGCTGCAGCGGTGGTGGTGGCGGTGGTGGTGCATGCCTTTAATCCCAGCACTCGGGAGACAGAGCCAGCTGGATCTCTGTGAGCTCGAGGCCAGCCTGGTCTACAAAGCAAGTTCCAGGAAAGGCTCAACAATACACAGAGAAACCCTGTCTCAAAAAATCAACAAACAAACAAAAACAAAAACAAAAAACTATCCTTTCAGAATAACATATATTTCCTTGGAAATGGTAGAGCAATGGCAGAGTTCTCAGTCTTCCCAGCTACCCTCCATTTCCTCTACCACCAGCTTTGACTGGTACCTGCCTACATAGCGACCCCAGCTTGCAGTTCTTCCTAGAGGAAGTCTGCAAGTGAGAGGCTGGGTCTCTCTTAGCTCCTCTTCCTGCTCTAGTACTATGACCTCTGTCAAAAGTGCATTTTATCTATCCTTGGATTCAGAAAATTTAACCAAATATTCTCAAGTATGGTGTGGCTCTTCCTGGGGAGATACGAACACATGTCTGCTCACCCCAGATGGGGCACCAATGACAGAGCATCTGATTAAACTTAACTAGTGAGTGTTTAGGTTACTCACAGGAGTAGGAACCAGGGACTATTTACAAAAGATCGAGCCACTCAAAGACAGGTGCATCATTCAAACTCCTCCACCAGCACAAATGCTGTGTCTCTGGAGCTGTTTGCGAGGCTTGCATGTAGCCGAGCTGTTTGGAGAATACCCTCTCTTAGCAATTGGTAATACTCACATAACCCTAAGAAGGGGCTTGTGCAGGGGCACAAGGTCACAAAGGGGGAACCCACAGAGACAGATGACCAGAACTCGTGGGAGCTCACAGACTCTGAACTGATAGCTAGGGATTGTGAATGGGACTGACCTAGGCCCTCTGCATGTGTGTGACAGCTGTGTAGCTTGGTCTGTTTGTGGGGCTCCAGTAGTGGGATCAGGACCTATCCCTGGTGCTTAGACTGGGTTTTGGGAACCTATTCCTCATGCTGGGTTGCCTTACCCAGCCTTGATGCGGGGAAGAGCTTGGTTCTGCCTCAACTTGATGTGCTATGCTTTGTTGACGCCCATGGGAGGCCTACTTCTTTCTGAACAGAGATGGAGGAGGAGTGGACTGGGGTGGGAAGGAGAGGGGAGGCGCGGGGGGGGGGAGGGGCAGAGGGAACAGGCGGAGAAAAGGGAGGGGAAACTTCAATCAGGATGTAAACTAAATGAAAATTTTAATTAGTAGAAAAATAAAAAGAAGGGGCTTGTGAATCTTCAGCATTTCAGGAGCTAAGACTTCCAGGTTTGCCTGCCTTCGGAATCTTTTGCACCTCTCTTCTCCAACAGGGAATGTTTCAATTTGCAGGAAATTGCTACACAACACCAAGTATGCATGTGTCTGTTCTCATTAATTCAGCCTGGGAATTGGCGAGCACTTTCTAACAGAAATAAATCTGCAGCTGAGAAACGCAGGATCGTATGCTCAGATCTACTGAAGAGGCCTATATATAATGACAACATTCCAGATGCACATAATAAAACAAGCCCTGGCCACTGCCCATACTTGGGAACATGTTGCACGTATCCTGGCTGCTGGATGGTACTAGAATGGAGGCGTGTCCTGCTTGATTTTCTGTTGCAAAATACCCGATGCTGAGTTATATATAAATAAAAAAATGTTTGTTGGGTCCACCATTTTGGTAGCTGAAGCAGTCAAACATTATGGTGTCCTAGAAATTGTCCTCTGGCTGCATCATAATACAGTAGAAAAACACAGAAAACCAGCCCAGTACAAGAGAGATCCCAGCACATGGAGCCTGTTGCTTTACAATGACCTGCCTTCGTTCACAGTGCTGATCTAGTCACATGAGAGCTGGAACCCCTTCAAAATAGCATGAGCGCTTCATGGGAGTGTTGACCCCATGATTTAACATCTTCCATCTCAGCACCACCACATGAGTGGCAACTTCCCAGCCTAGGAACTTCTTTAGGACTCAACATATGGTGAAAATAGAAGGGGTCTGAGTTATCATCATAAGCAGCTGCTGGCAATGACCCGTGAGAACCATGGAACAGAAGACTCCCTTGCCCCCCCCATCCTCCCACCCTCTCACCACCCCCCAGTCTTCACTCCTGCACCCCCTCATCCCCCACCACATACACCCTCCACTTCCACCCTCGCCCCGTGGACATAGCAAGACTTGACTGCACATGGAGCCAGGAATGGACTTGTCCAACAGCCCACAGTGACAATTAAAGATCTGTCTGCGCTAGCAACAATCCATCCTCCAACAGAGGTGGCCATGATAGAAGTGGAGGAGGGAGGTCAGAGCAGCATCTCTGGGTACCGAGTTGGCCAGAATGTCATCCCGGCAACTGGAAATTGACAGAAATCCCTGGGTGCAAATTGTCTTGTGGCACCTTTCTGACAAGAGAGTACTTGCTTCTCTACCACTGCCTTAGAAGAAGGGAAAGGGAGTCACCAACCTGGTTGGGAACCACTTTGGCCAACTTCAGTTGCTCTAACCTAAGGCACTTCTGGCTTGACAGCTCTCTTCTGATTGGTCCTATTCTACATTTAATTTGCATACCCCCCAGCCAATCAGGGCCCGCCAGGCTCTATATACTAGGATACAACACACCGGGTGTTTGTGCTTGCTGGGCTCCCAGCCTGAGCCTCTCTCTTATCCCAGGGGCCTGGTTCTAGGCTGTTCAGTGGAGAAAGAAGATGAAGAGCCCCGGGGGAACTCACTGCAGCTTCCGCTTCTTCTATTCCAAGACACTGTTTCTGCTTCAGAATCCAGGGTTCTTGCCCTGGCCGTCAAGGCCAGCTGCGGCTGCTTCAGCTGTAAGCAAGGAACACTTCCTTCAGCCTTTGAGCCTGGAGAGAGACAGGAGAATTCGTGCTGTGCTTCCTGGTGACCTGCTATTTCCAGATTGCTTTGCTCGGGACTGCTCCCACTTGATATCTTGACATTCTCTAAGACTTTAGAGCTGTGATGCATGCTGGCACTCTCCTGGTGGCATCTTGAGAATGTAGCATGGGCAACCGCAGGCATCCTGCTGCTGCTGCTGCTGCGGGTCTCGGGGTCTACCTTCATGTTTGGCTTTCTGCTTTCCCATTTGAACAACAGTCATTCCTGCGTGGCAAATAAAAGTTGCCCCTTGTTCACCCTTAGTTATCTGCCCACTCTGTTCTTACAGGAAGGGAAAAACAGGAATGTAACAGGAGAAGGTCGAGATTAAAAACTTTGGGTTGGGAAGATGGTTTAGTGGGTAAAGGACTTACCATGCACATGTGAAGACACGAGTTCAAGTCTCTAGAGTCTATGTAAAGCTGGGAATAGTAGTGCATATCTGTAATCCCATGCTCTTCGGTGAGACAGCAACACACAGCATTCCCAGGAGCTCACACATACGTAGTGGCGAACTGAACCTATCTCAAGTACTGCAGAAGGCAAGGTCTGACACCCCAGGCTGACCTTGTTGTACTTGCATTTAAGGTACTCGTAAACCTGCACTCAGTTGTATGTACTTGTATGTACACATATAATACATGTACACACATATACTATACACTCACATACAAGTATTTGAGACTTCCAGGTAGGATGACAGATTAGAAGCTTTACTGCAGAAACACTGAAAGAAAACAGGCAAGATAACACACAAGAGACAAGTCCTGCAAAGGAACTCATTAGGCCAAGGCAGAGCTCAGCAGGGAACCAGGCCAGCGCTCTTGAATTGGGGCCAGGTCCGCTGAACCGAGCTGCCACGGAGCAGCAGAAACTTCAGCGGAAGTGCTGCTCCTCACATTACCCTGGACCTGCAGAATCAGGAAAGGGCAAGGTGGGACACGGGGGTCTGGGGAACCACCAGGAAAGGACTTGCAACTTCTCCCCCAAGAATGCACGAGCAAGGAGTCTGCAGAGCCCAGCAGCTCTCCACTCTTCTCTCTCCCACACAACACAGGGGGGAGCCTGCTAGAGTAGGGGATCGGAGAACTTCACTGTCCAAGTCATGCAGCTGTCACAGAAATTCCTAAGTCCTCTCTTGATTTCGTATTTTCAATATCAGTCTCCGCACACAATGGTTTTGCTTTGGTTTGTGTATTGCTCAGTTAGGCCTTAGGGTTGTTCAGTGTGTTTCTACACACACACACACACACACACACACATACCCATTAGGTTCTCTCTACTATACTTTTCAGCCATCCCATTCACTCTACTGACTATCCACAGTTAATCTGAGTAACTAATGAGTACGCACCATACTATCCTAGTGTGTTTATTTAAGTGAAAAGGGCCAGTGTTGTTAATTGGCCAGTGTAACATTTGCATGAGACTCAGCATCTGTGGGCATTTAGGACATCAAGTAGACAAGACCAGAAAAGAGTTTCCTTGTCACATTATAATTAGAACACTAACTATGTGGAACAAAGAGAGCGTATTGAAAGCAGCAAGAAATGAAGACCAAGTCACATAAAAACACAGGCTCACCAGGACAGCACAAGATTTCTCAAATGAAACTAAAGCTATAGTAGGAGCAGGACTAGAAGATATAGTAGCTATCACTCATAAGGAAGGAAAAAAACTTTCCATGTTAAAAATAGGCTAAAGGAATTCATGACCACTAAGCTTTACAGAGGTACTTAGAAGAATCCTCTAGACTGAAGAGAACAATAAAACTATCCATGAAGCTGAAGAAAGGATAAGCCACACAGAATAATAAGTATGAGAAGAGGAAAACAACAAACATTACAAAATCAACACAGTATGAATCAATACATGTCTTTAAACAACAACTGAATGTTAATGGTCTCGATTTCCCAATCAAAAGTCACAGACTAATAGATTGGATGGAAGGTCAGGAACAGACCTGTTTGTTGCCTTTAGGAAATACACCTCACCACAGCAGACAAACACTACCTTAGGGTGAAAGGATGGAATTCCAAGCACATGTCTCTGTTCTAATAATTGATGGACTAGACAGCAAACCAAAGTAGTGAGAAAAAGTAAGGCTGCCTCATACCAAGTGAGGGAACAATCCATCAAGAGGACATTATGATTCCAAATGTGTATGTTCCAAACATGAGTGAAACTACTTTCATAATACATACATTACTAGATGTAAAGCCACAGATGACCTTCAGTACCACAGTAGTGGGTGACTTCAGTATCCAACTCTCACCAATTTACAGGCTCGGCCAACACAGAATGAAGAGAAATATGTGAATGAAATGACATCATGGATCAAATGGATTAAACAGACATCTACAGAACATTTCATCCACACACTGCAGAATATACATTGTTCTTAGAAGCCCATAAAACTTTCTCAAAAATATAGCATATACGAGGAAACAACACAAATTTTAACAAATATAGGAAAATTGAAATAATTCCTTGTATTTTATATGATCATAATGGAATAAAACTACAAATCAACAGCAACAAAACTCTAAAACATTCAGAAACTAATGTAGATTAAACAAACACTATTGAATGATGAATGAATTCTTGAAGAATTGAAGAAGGAAATAAAAAGTCCCTAGAATTCAATGAAAATGAAAATGCATTTACCTAAACTTTTGGAACACAATGAAAGCAGTTCTAAAGGGGAATTTTATAGCTCTACTGTCTACATGAAGAAATCATAGAGAGCTCAAATAAATAACTGAATGATGGACCAGAAGGCCCTGTCAAAAAAGAACAAGCCAAACCCCAAATCAGCAAGTGGAAAGAAATGTAAGACCAGGGAGGGTAGTAATGAATGAAATGGAAACTAACAACAACAACAACAAAATACAAGGGATCAATGAAATAAAGAGTTGGTTCCTTGAAAAGATAAAGAAGACCCATAAACCTTAACTAAGCTGACCAGAGAAAGGGCGAGAAGGCCCAAATTGGTACCAGTAGAGACTAAAGGGGAGCCGTAGTGATAGCTATCAGTGACGTTCAGAAGACCACTAGATCACACCTTACAAACAATACTCCACTAAGTTGAAAACTTCTCAAGAAATTGTCTAGATCTGGATGACAAACCAAAATTAAACCACGATGAGATAAACTAAGCAGATCTATAACAAGAAGTGAGATCAAAGCAGTAATTTAAAAAAAAAAATCTCACAACTAAAAAAGAACAGGCCCCAGATGGATTCACTGGTGACTTTCACTAGACCTTTAGGGAATAACTAAGACTCATGGTCCTCAAACTTATCCATAAAACAGGAAAGGATGGAACACTGCCAAACTCTTGATGGAGTTAGTAGTGTCCTGATACCCAACCAGATTAACACGTACAACAACGTGTAACAACAACAAGGACATTATACACCAACCCCTCTGATGAATATAGATACAAAAATGTTAAACAAAATACAAACTGGATTCAAGTTTGTGAATTTCAAAAATGTCACTTATTATGATCAAATTAGCTTTATTTTAGAGATACAGAGATGGTTTAATCTGTGCAAAGCAATAAATGTTATAAATTATGTAAATGGGCTCAAGGCTTATCACATTATGACTCAACACTGTGTCTCAACAGACACAGAAAAGGCCTTTGACAGATTCTAGTATTTTCTTCATGATAATGGTCGTAAAGAAGCTTAAACTAAAAGGTGTTTTAGTTAGATTTCTTTTTCTGTGAAAAACATCACGACCAAAAGCAACTTAGGGGAGGAAAAGGTTTATTTCACTTTACAGTGTATAGTCCATTATGAAGGGGAAAGTCCAGGCAGGAGCCCAGAGGCAGAAACTGAAGCAGACACCAAGTACTGCTCACCTCTTGGTTCTCTATGGCTTTCGTAGCTTGCTTTCTTACACAAGCTAAACCACCTGCCCAGTTAGCTGGGCCTTCCCATGTCGATTATTAACCATGAAAAATGTCCCCATACCTGATAATTGGTCAGCCTGGTGGAAATCATTCCTCAACTGATGTTCCCTCTTCCCAGGTGACTCTAGTTTGGGTCAAGTTGACAGAAGCCAACCAGCACAGGTCATGATCTAGTAGTACTGAATAGAGAAAATTATGGAGGAAACCAACTTCTCTTTTGATGAGGTGAAAGGAAATTAATACTATCTGGTTAGGCCAGGGAACAGATGATGAAGAGAAACAAATTGTTCAACAACACTGGCACTGAGTACAGTTTGGGGACAGACAACTGGGAGGGGCATGTGCGAGGCACTGAGGGTGGAGCTCAGGTTGGGTTGTGGCCATTTAGCAAGTGTGGGAGAGAGAGAAGAGAATTGATGGAATTGCTGCCCCACTGGACTCTAGACTGAACCACCAATGCAGGGTGAGCACAGTGCAGAGATGTTAGACCCCTATGTTGCGAGCAGTTGCTCTTGCCAGTGTCCCCAGACACTTGGCTGAAAGCTTTCCATATCAGGGGTTCCCTTTTCATGACAATTCCATGCTTCAATGATATCTCTATATTCACATTGCTTAGAATTCATACACTGAAATCTAGTCACCAACACCAGCTGTGAGAATGAAGCCATTATCAGTGAGATCAGTGGGCCATTTTTCAGTCTATAACTCTGCCCCCAGCCCCTTGCATCTTCTACTGAAGGAAGACACAACCCAGACTTGCCATCTGCAAACCCGGGAGGAAGGCTCGCCGGACACTGAATCTGCTAGAGCTTTGATGTGGAACTTCTCAGGTTCCAGAATTGTGAGTGCTGCTCTTTGTAAGCTCCTCAGCTTGCAGTCACATCACTGCATCTCAGACCAATGTGCTCAATAGCATTTACCACCACTGATTTAAGTAGCAAATGATAAGCTGTGAACAAAACACCAGCAACATGCTGTTTCTTCCTTTCTGCAACTTGAAGGTCTTGTCCCTGAAGTTTGCCTTGCATCTTCTTTACACACTCTCTGGAGAAACACAGGAAAGAGTTAATGAAGACAGACATAAGAGGGTACAAGATTTAGCCCACTCTAATGGTTGATGACATTTCAAAGACTTATAAGTGGAAAGGGTGACATTTTAAGTTGACATACTTCATGAGTGACCCAAGTGTGGATGAATAATGAAAACAAAATGGTTAGGGGTGAAAAAGTGGCTTGCCACTAAAATGGGCACAAACACAATGTCAGAGTGCCTGGTGTCAACACTAGAGTGTGTCAGCCACCTGTTAACCACACACATGCAAGGAGGGCTGGGAGATGATTCTCAAAATGTTCTATTAAAGCTAATGAGGGTTCTCGTAAAGTGATGGTTGAGAAAATTCACCCTGATTTGACTCTTAAATAAGCCCCTGTTTTGGCTTTCTTTTCTTTTCTTCTTTTTTCCCTATCAAATTTCTTCTTAAGTTTCCTTTCTTTCTTTAAATCTTTTTAGACTCTTATCTCCCAGCTGTCATCCTTCAACATCTTTATCCTTTTGTTGTTTTTATCACATATGGGGACACCCACACAGTTCTCTGTTACTCATCACGAATGAGTCTAAGTGCTAAAGAATCAGCTCACGGATGGAGATTCACTATGCTTAACGAACAGAAATTAGCAAAGTTTAGAGTTGGAAGAGACAATTAAAGTCAACTTACTCACTGTATATAGTCACTTCCATAAAGCGATTCCTATTCACTTCTACAAAGCTGTCCTAGCATTTTGTCATTAATCACACACTTTGGAATTCCTGCCAGTAAATTTGAAACATCAAACTACATTCATAATGGTCACAGTCATCAGATTACTGTAACTTGTGCATATACTATGCTGAACACATGTTCCTGTTCCCATGAGTAATCTTTTTTTTTTTTTTGGTGTGTAGTCTATTAATATGCTTTTTTTTTTTTTAGTTTAAGTTTATGATTGAGTGGGATGTGTTTTTTTCTCAGGGATGCAATGTTGACTTAACATTTTAAAATGGATCAATGTAATACACCATATTAACTAAAAAAGGGCTAAATTCTGTGACTATCTTAACGGATGCATTACAAAAATCCAATGTACATTTATTATAAAAAAAATACAGACTAGGTAGAAATAGAAGGAAAGTCCCTGACATATTTGGAAAACCCACCACTGATATCTCAATAACCAGGAAGACTGAGTGCTATTTCCTCACAAGATGGGAAACAGCTCTGTTCTTAGCTCAACATTAGAAGCCTTAGGGGAGACTAACTTGGCCAAACTTATGTTTCATGCCTGCATTCTTCTATCATGGGCAACCAATAGGGTCTAACTATGCATGTTGGTGGGAAGCAAGGACCAGGCACAATAGAAAAAGCAGATGCTTTTGGGAAGGGCCCAGATTCCAAATGGGCAAAAGGTCAGCTAATTATGGACTTACAGTAAGACCTTCTTACTCTATATTGTGGTCTTTTTTTTTTTTTCCCCCTCACTGGTATGCTTTTAAGTGTGCCTCCTAGGTGATTTAAAATCCATCAGTGACGAAGATGACTATTCTGTACTTGAAGCTCTCCTCTCCCAGCCAGATGGCTTCTTTAGTTCCTGATGCTCAGCCTGGACCAAGTGTGAATCTTTGTGCACCTTTGTGTACTAGGCGTTAGAATGCCAGGTCTTCACCAGCCAAGCTGCAGCTGAGGTACTCTTTCCGTCCTTATTGCTTCCCTGTGTTGAATCAGGACAGCATGGAGGGGGGTGGGCAAGGCACCATCTTTAAGTTAGTCCTTGAAAATCTTTAGGAGCCCTTAAAGTAGACAATTTGGCAAGACTGTGGATTTAGTGATGTTTCTGTATCATATATATATTTTTAATTCTTATAAGTTTCTGCAGAGCAAATGATTTCAGATAAGAAATTTCATTCCTTTATCATTGTAGTTCGAATCTTGTCAGTGTTTTTGAAAATGTGCATTTAAACTGGGAGTGCACACCTTTAATTCCAGTACCTGGGAGACAGAGGCAGGCAGATCTTTGTGAGTTCAAGGCCAGCCTGGTCTACATACTCAGCTTCCAGGCCTGCCAAGGAGATCCTGTTTGAATTTAGAAAGAAAGAGGGGAGAAGGGAGGGAGGGAGAGGGAGGGAGGGAGGAAGGAAGGAAGGAAAAGAAAGATAGAGAAGATGTACATTTATATTATTATGTACCTATTTGTTAAGGGTTTTTCAAATGTTCTCCAGGAGTTATCTTAACTCTTCAGGTACTTCTTGCCCTGGACCCACCTGTCTCTCCAGCTTTATATTTTGTTAATGCCCTGCAAAAATTCCCCCACTCAAGTGATTCTGCATGAACAGCCATTTTTAGATCCTTCATCTGTGCCTTCACATTTTCTATTCTTATCAACTGTAATGTTCTTTATATGAATTTCTTATCTATTTAATATTATCTCAGTATAATGTACTCCTTGAAGCTTCCCCAAATTGTGCCTCTCTCACTCCAATCCTTGTTTTCCCATGTTTGCATCCACGACACACCCTGCATGCACATTGCTGGACCACACTTATCACACTGTTCTCCAATTCTTGCTTTGCTGGTCTGTTCCCACTGTGGGAAGTCTTAGGAAATGGAATTAGTCAGAGTTATCCAGACAAACAGAATGAACAGGACAGATATGTAGACAAGTAGGTAGGTAGATGATAGATTAGATAGATAGATGATAGAAGACAGACAGATAGATTGGTAGATATATAGATCTAGGGTAGATAGATGATGATAGATGATAGAAGTTAGATAGATAGATAGATAGATAGATAGATAGATAGATAGATAGATAGATAGATAGATGATAGATAGGTAGATGATAAATGCATGGATGGATAGATACACAGATAAATAGGTAGATAGACAGATAGATAGATAGATAGATAGATAGATAGACAGACAGATAGATGGATGAATAGATAGATAGATGGATGAATAGATAGATAGACAGACAAAATAGAAGAGAGTAATTGACTCACACAATGGTGGAGGCTAAGACATCTCATGATCTGCCATCTGCAGGCTGGAAGACCAAAGAAAATGGCGGGACAGCTTCCACTTCAAATGGAAGCCCTGAGAACCAGGCACATCAATGATGAAAGTTCTGGGCCAAGTGCAAAGGCCCAGGAACCAGAGGGCTGATGGTGTGAGCCCCGAGGCTCCAAGAACCAGCTTCACTATGCTGAGGGCAGGAAAAAATGGCTACTTGAGCAGAGGACTGCCGCAGCTCTGCCTCTGTCGTGCTGAGGCCTTCTATAATTTGATGCGGCCATCTGTACGAATGAGGTTAATTTCTTTTCCTGGTCTGAGTACTCAAATACTAACCTCTTCCAGAAATATTTTGACAGAAATACCTCCAATTAACATCTGTGCATCCTGTTGCCCAGTCAAGTCGACACATAATGAGCCATCACAGGCATGCATCTTAAATCCTTTTGAATCTCCAGTGCTTGGTGTTATGTAAAATTACAAAAAATTCTACGGTCCAGGGAGCGGGACCAATTATCTTAATATACTTTAGTTTAAATTGACTGGGTTTGAGCATGCTTGTAGTTTTATTAATCTTGATGATGATGATGCCTTTGATACTAGATTCAAATCAAAAGCCACCATTTATATTTATATTTGATAATAATTCTTTCTAGAGATAATCAGAGGCGAAGAGACTAAAATTTAAAAATCAGAACTAAGGCAGGAAAAAAATCTTAAAAGACATACTTTTATTTTTTTTGTGTGTGTATGCACATATATATGTCACACATGTGGCCAAGGAGGCCAGCAGAAGGTGTCTGATCCCCTGGAGCTAGAGTTCCAATGGTGGTGAGCCATATGACATGGATGCTGGGAACTGAAGTTGGATTCTCAGGGAGAGCAGCAAGCATTCTCAACTGCTGAACCATCTCAGGAGACCCCAAAGTAGAATGTTCAATAGCAGTTCGTCTTAATATTTATTGCATATCTCTATGTAAGATACTAATTACTAAGATGTTGGTTCACTTTCAACCAAATATTGAATTTTATGGAAGTACATACTTTTGTTATGAAAATATTTTAATTTTCTGCATAAATAGATCTTAACTCTAAGGCTATAATCGTAAATGCCAAATATTCTACTAAAATATGCACAAAGACTGGAAAACTATGAAATAAAAATTTTCCAAGAAGAATCTTAATCATGCATGAAAATTATTTAATAGAATTCTAGATGTCCGGAGTCTAGATTTGATTTTACAGGTAGCTCAAATTCACTAGGAGTCCAATTTATTTCATGACACTATTTAAAGTCAGTGCAGTGACAAATTTCAATATGTGTCAATGGTCATAGATCCTCAACATATGTGACCTCACCTCATCTCAGAAGCTAAGCAGGGTCAGGCCTGGTTAGCGTTGGGTGGGAGAAAAAAAATCTCAAGATGTGCCTTGTTGAGCCACAGCAAATGTCAATAAAGCATTTGCACACTAGGAGCATCCTTCCGTAGTGGCAGAAGGAAACTGGCCTTGGGATATAGAACAATGGGTCCACTCATGCAACAATTTTGATTTCTTTTGTTTATCATGTATTATAAAAATTTGCTAGTGCTGGGGAGATGGCTCAGTCCATACAGTGCTTGTTGCAAAAGCATGAAGACATGAGTTCATATTTCTAGTTAAAAACATGTCTCCAGTTAGACATGCCAAGGTATAAGTAGAGTCAAAGTGCCAGAGAAGCAAAGGCAGGAAAATCTCTGGGGATAGTTGGCCAGCCAGTCTAGCTAAGTAACAAGCTCCAAGTTCAGTGGGAGACTGTGCCTCAAAACAAAGATGGAGAGTGATAGAGGGAGGTGCAGGGGGAAGTTTCTAGGTCCCGCCTAGCCCCACAGTCTGGACGAATCTCTCTCGCCTGAGCTCTCGCAGCTGCTTATAAAATAATCATTTAGAGGCTCATATCAATTACAAACTGTATGGCCTATGGCTCAGGCTTCTTGCTAGCTAGCTCTTACATCTTAACCC